ACAGGAGAAGAGAGTTTATAACTGTGCACGATGAAAGGAGAAGTGCAGCCAAAGCTTCTCCTTCTCGGTGGACCACAGGAGTGCAATTCGTTCTGCACTTCTGTGACCCGTATACAGCTGACAGTGGGCCGAAGCCCGCTGTCGGCTGATGTCACTCAGCCGGTCCAGGCTGGGGAAAAAGATCCCGACTTCAGAGTCTGGAGCGGCACCTGGCTCAGCCTGTCAGCGAGTCGTTGAAAGCCTGAGCCAGCTGATTCCTCCCCCTCCACAGCCCAGTGCTCCAGCGAGTGTGGGGAGGGCAGAGCAGAGAGCGGTGACTGACAGTCACCGCTCTCTGCTCACAGCAGTGTTCAGAACTCCGCGATCAGTGGTTATGATGTGGTCTCACACTTAAAGAGCAGGCGGGGGACAGACGTAGCATCAGACCACCTAGGTAAACACAATTTTGGGGATAATAACACCCTACTTCTCTTTGAAGGGAATGCTGGAGGTCAGGTTTCTGACTGTCTTAGAGGGTTAGAGGTCACATAAAGCCTTATGGTTTCCGTCACCTGCTAGACCACACACAGTCTCCCAGCTTTAGAATGTGCAAAGAAACAGGTTCACTTTAAAGCTAACTGCTACATTTGCCATTGGGAGTGAGGAGAAAAGAGACCTGTGCAAGTCACTTCAGTTGGAGCTTCGACATGGGGGGTTTGGGGGCTTTCTTTGGGATGCAGCTGGGCCAATCACCAAGCACCCCATGTTATATAGGGAGTTGAATCACATGAGCCTCTATACCAGAACGTACCGGGTTATTTCTTCCCTCCATGCAGTGTAGGGATCAGTGAGGCAGTAAAGCAAAGTTAGACATATGTAGGAGTGAAAACATATACTAGACTGAACCTGTTTCGTTGTCTTCCAGGGGAAACGCACATGTTCACTTTAACATGGATTATTCAGACACTTGCATATGCCCAGTTATGATTGCTTCCCTTTAAATAGGTTATAAATTGTATACATTGCCATTGAATAGAAAAAGGTACACTGTGGTTCTCCATCTACAATGGAACAACAAAGTGATTGGATGGAAAGGATGGTAAGTTGAAATATCTATTTATGGTCAGCTTAACAATACTCTTTTGATTTGTCTACCGGTGATACTACCAGTCCCCCCCCCCCTTCTCTTCTAGGTCCACACCACCCTAACTAACCTACAAATGCATAAAAAGAAAAATATGTTTCCAACACAAAGCAGGCTGGAAGTAACATTTGATCCTTCTGTATTAATCAGCCGTTGGAGAATTGGAACACACGAAGGAAACTGATCTAACTTCAGTAAACTGAAATGTGACTGCTATGGATTCCTGCACTCAGCACATTCTCATTAATCTCTCTACCCGGCTTTAAGGGAAACTCTTACTTTTACCCCATTTCTCACTACAATTTTCAGAATCACTGTTCTGCTGTAACATTTGTGTCTTCTCAAATGGTTTGTGAAACTGCTTCTCTCTTACAAGTAATGTTTCAGTCTTGCACAGTACCATAACGTACTGCTTTAATAACTGTCAAGTTTGCATGTACTTTGTGTAGTAAAAATCCAACTATATGGAAAAATATTGTATTCGGATAACGATATTAAAGGTTAAAGTGTAACGAAAAGTGTTAAAAAAAATTGTGAACTGGCAGGCATTTTATTTCTATAACTCCAGGACTTGGAACCATCTAGAGACCAGCTATGTCTCCAGGTCTTGGAACCATCCAGAGAAAGGCTATGCCTCCAGGACTAAGAAACATCTAGATAGGCTATGCCTCCAGGACTTGGAACCATCCAGAGACAGGCTATGCCTCTAGAACTAGGAAACATCCAAAGAAAGGCTATGCCTCCAGGACTTGGAACCATCAAGAGATAAGCTATGCCTCCAGGACTAGGAAACATCTAGAAACAGGTTATGCTTCTAGGACTTGGAGCCATCCACAGACAGGCTATGTCTCTAGATCTTGGAATTATCCACAGACAGGCTATGCCTCCAGGACAAGGAACCATCCAGAACAGGCTATGCTTCCAGGACTAGTAACCATCCAGAAACAGGCTGTGCCTCCAGGACTAGGAACAATCCAGAGACAGGCTGTGCCTCCAGGACATGGAACCATCCAGAGATAGGCTGTGCCTCCAGGACATGGAACCATCCAGAGATAGGCTGTGCCTCCAGGACATGGAACCATCCAGAGATAGGCTGTGCCTCCAGGACATGGAACCATCCAGAGATAGGCTGTGCCTCCAGGACATGGAACCATCCAGAGATAGGCTGTGCCTCCAGGACATGGAACCATCCAGAGATAGGCTGTGCCTCCCAGGACATGGAACCATCCAGAGATAGGCTGTGCCTCCAGGACATGGAACCATCCAGAGACAGGCTGTGCCTCCAGGACATGGAACCATCCAGAGACAGGCTGTGCCTCCAGGACATGGAACCATCCAGAGACAGGCTGTGCCTCCAGGACATGGAACCATCCAGAGACAGGCTATGCCTCCAGGACTTGGAACAATCCATAGACAGGTTATGTCTCCAGGACAAGGAACCATTCAGAGACAGGCTATGCCTCCAGGACAAGGAACAATCCAGAGACAGGCTATGCATCTATATAAAAATGGTGCCAGCCAATCATGACTGCCAAAGACTTGGCATCTGGAACAAGCAAGGAAGAAGATGCAGGAAATGGCAAGGGACCTCAGGCATGTTGGATCACTGGAGCAGATTAAGGTATTTAGTCCCGCGTTAATACAAGATATTACAGTATTGAGTATATGGATTGCTTTTTTTTTTTTCATTTTACATATCTTTATATTTTGTATCATATTTACATGCAGACCAAACTGAAAGGGTGGATGATGTTATGCTCTCCACCTCACCCAGTCAGAGGAAGCCTTGTATTCACTGATAAATATGGCTTATTGTGAATGGCTGAGCGGCCAACTTTATTTTAGTTCAGTAAATGGCAAGTCCCCAATGACCGTGCCAGAACGCCAGAACACCAGAACACAGCTGATGCCACATACAGTTTATACAGCGCTGAGAGCACGCACATCTGTTAGTGAATGATATAGCTCATCTGGACCAGCTTGTTTCAAACAAACTATTTAAGGTAAAATTAAAGCTGGAGTCAGGCTTTAGGCTAGGTTCGCACTATTGCGCTTTCCCTGTAGCGCGTTTGCGTGAGTACAGCAGTCCATTCATTTGGAATACCTAAGGAAAACGCAGGGAATAGGTCCATGCCCCTTTTCCAAAATTGCAGCTGTAGGGAAATCACATAGTGCCACGTGGTTCCCAGAATGAGAAAATGTGCTGCGGTTTCCAGTACGTGGAGGTGCCATTAAGAATTAATGGCACCATTGTGCATCTGCTAACAGTTTTTGCTGCAGGTAACTGTGCAATTTGCATGCAGTCCTGCAGCCTAGCAGGTGTCAACCATGCCTTAAAGACCCTGCAGGTACAGAAATTATCTGCCAGTAAAGCACTCAGTTCCTAAGTTCTGTAATGGGCTGACAACATGCAGCATTTTGTTTTACAATGAGTGGTGTCAGCCCTTCCAGTTTCTTCTGGTAAATTACCCAAACCTTCCTTCAATCCTATTTGCTACAACACAGAGACTAATCATTTTGAAGTCCCAAGATAAAAATTAGTAGGGAAAATGAGGCTTGCCATAGACGCCTCGTATTTCAGCTGTTTCCTGTTGAACCTGGTGAAATTCGAACCATGGGTGGCCCGGTCAGCACAATCTGGCTCATAAAAAGTCAAATTTTTTATAAAATTTTAAAGGAGCAGCCATGTGGAAAAATGTAATCCAAACCGTGCATCCACTAGAGCCTGAGCGTCAGGGGTCAAAGAATACCTAAACTCTGACACTGGCTGACCTTGCCTACAACTCTGAATTCGCTACTCAGTTCATGGGGTTACACAATATAAAAAGGCGTACTTTAAAATAATCTCCTTTTGTAAAGGAGGAGCAGAGGGCATACCTGTAATCAGGGAGATGAAAATCTCTATTTAATTGGATGAGAAGTGGAACAAGTGAGTACTATTGTGACTTTCTTCTGTTCTGTTGTCACATGGAACATCCAGGGAGAAGAACACCCACAAGACAATGAGGACTGCCAAGTACCTAATTATTACCACCAGCTCTTAATTCTTCTTGTAGCTGACCTTTAAAAAAAATGTAAAACATTCCTACTAATGTACAGTTTGCAGTACTAGTAAATTAACAGCCGTGTGACAGTTCAGTTAATTTACACCAGATGCACTGTGAAGACAGGCTTAAAAGGGTCAATCCATTTAAAAGTGAAATTTCAGTTTGAGTAAGGGCTAGAGCAGCATTTCTCAACCAGAATGAGCAATTTCCTGAGCAATTTCGGACTCTCACATAACCAATCATTGACACTAAATATTTTAGCTACAATATTTGTAAGGGTTTTTTTTTTTTCCTGCTAACCACCAATGTAAGTAGAATTCTTCCACTGACAACCAATATGAAGGGGCATTCTTCGTACTGACCATCAATATAAGGGATATTCTTCCCACTGACTACCAATGTAAGGGTCATTTTTCCTCTCATCGATAATGTACGGAACATTCTTCTCACTGACCACCAATGTAAATAGCTTTCTTCTATCAATGTAAGGGGCATTCTTCTCACTGACCAACAATATACTGTAAGGAGCATTCTTCCCAGCGATCACCAATGTAAGCAGTATTATTCCCACTTACCACCAATGTAAGGAGCATACTTCCCAATGACCACCAATTTAAGGGGCATTGTTCCCACTGATCACCAATTTAAGGGGCATTCTTCTCACTGATTACCAAGGTAAGGAGAATTCTTCCTACTGATCACCAATGCTTTCGTCCATCAATGTAAGGGACATTCTTCCCACTGAGCAGAATTGTAAGGACCATTCTTCCCACTTGACACCAATTCAAAGAGCATTCTTCTCACTGACCACTAATATAAGAGACATTCTTCCACTGACCGCCAATGTAAGTGGCATTCTTCCCATTGACGGCCAATGTAAGGGGCATTCTTCCCATTGACGGCCAATGTAAGGGGCATTCTTCCCATTGACGGCCAATGTAAGGGGCATTCTTCCCATTGACGGCCAATGTAAGGGGCATTCTTCCCATTGACGGCCAATGTAAGGGGCATTCTTCCCATTGACGGCCAATGTAAGGGGCATTCTTCCCATTGACGGCCAATGTAAGGGGCATTCTTCCCATTGACGGCCAATGTAAGGGGCATTCTTCCCACTGACGGCCAATGTAAGGGGCATTCTTCCCACTGACGGCCAATGTAAGGGGCATTCTTCCCACTGACGGCCAATGTAAGGGGCATTCTTCCCACTGACGGCCAATGTAAGGGGCATTCTTCCCCACTGACGGCCAATGTAAGGGGCATTCTTGACCCATTTTTGACGGCCAATGTAAGGGGCATTCTTCCCATTGACGGCCAATGTAAGGGGCATTCTTCCCACTGACCGCCAATGTAAGGGGCACTCTTCCCACTGATCGCCAATGTAAGGGGCATTCTTCTCACTGACTGCCAATGTAAGGGGCATTCTTCTCACTGTTCACCAATTTAAAGAGCATGCTTTTCATTGACCAGCAGTATAAGAGACATTCTTCCACTGACCACCAATGTAAGGAGCATTCTTACCACTGTCCTTGGGAACTAAGACAGTGAGTTCTCCACTCTGGGTTTTAAGATTTTTAGGGCAGGGGCTAAATTCTATGCCATTCTCTGCTAAATGTTGAGTGTAGAACTAGGCAAGCTACAGATGTGATATGAGCATACATCCACAGGAGCTTTGACAACATGACAAACTTAATTGGAAAAAAAAAACACTAGTGATGGCATACACACGAAAAGTCTATTTTATACTAAACGCAGAGCCCACCGCTGTTCTGAATTTAATCTAGTTGCAGGTTCCAAGGCTGAGCACAAATAGGGCGTCAAATGTCTGCTGTCACCCAGTCAATGGCTAAACCAAAGCATCATTTCTGCATGTTGAGTTATCTGACTGACCAGCAACATCTTCTTTCTTCTACCTGCAGTCAGTCAGGTAGCACAAGGATCAATTGGAGGAGAAAACGTAACAGCTTATGGTTGGAGCATTGTGGGGTGCCCAAAAAATATATGTGACACAGAGACATCAGGTATTTTTTAGGAGGGCCGGATTCAGCCAAAACAAACTGCTAAGCACTGCACAAACTTGCAAGCCCTGTTGGGCCAAGATTACAATGTAATTCAATAGGGAGGGGAAGGTCCAGGAGGAGAGAATCCAGAGCTTTGACCCTCACTCAGGTTTTTAATTCTTTGTTCTGGTTGACAAGGTTTTTCCCTTACTAATGTAGTATTACCCCCGCAGGGGCCATTGGAAATTGTTTGTTCCCACTGGTTGCCATGACCTTGTGAACTCCCCGACACCTCTGACACTCTGGGTTTTGACATATTCTAATCAAAAAAGATATGCAAATGGAAACGCAGGACACCAAAAATTAATATTGTAACTGTCAATTTACTACTAAAATTGGGTTACCTAATACTAGCAAAACCTAGATGTTGGCTTGGGATGAGGGATAATGAACAAGTCACAAAGGTAGCCGATGATGTAAACAATGGTAATGCAATAAACTAGTTCATTATGATAAACATGCTATATAAGGTAGTTGTGATGCCAGAAACAAGAGAGGGAAGAGGAGACTTTTAGTCAATCTGCTTGCTCTAGACCCTGACATCAAAGAGAATGAGGTAAACAATAATAAAAAGGCTAGAGTCGGAGTCCTTACCTAAAATACTGAGCAATTGAGAGAGCTATATTTCACAAATGACTTTGGGAGATAAAGTTCCTTTGTGAAGGAGAATGAAACTCAGAGTAGGGGGTGTTCTCATAGTTTTTCAGCTAGCTCTGATGGGGTCCGGGAACATGTGGTAGCACAGTAAACCAGTGGAGTGTAAGCAAGTATTATTTTGAGTGCAATTGTAATCCTCCAAGTAACTGAGTGTAAAGGTGTCTGCATGCAGTGTCTTTAATTAAAGTGTGGAAGATAGCATGGGCTTCCACTCAACAATCTGACCTGTGCTCGGTTCTGCTGTCAGGGAGTCTTCCTTCAGGAGCCTGAGATACACAGCAAGTTTTACGGCACCTGGCTGGTACCTTGTGAGCTCAGTGGTCTGGAGATGTCCACCTCAGAGTATGTGGTGATGAGACCGGGTCGTGTCCCCACAGTTCAGCCACGGCAGCGGTGACCCTCTGTCCAGTGAATCTGACCCTGACAAAGTAGATCCTTCTCCTGACTAGGCCGCATGCCCGACTTCAGTGCCCAGCGTCCTGGCTCCTTGTCCTGCTTGTTCTGAAGCCCAGGTTTCATAAGCACAAATCCACCCCACCCTGTCTAATTTAAATCCTCCCAATTGCTGGGTATTGTAGTTTCAATCAGGATAAGGTCCATGTCCAATCCCAGAGACCGGATTACAAGTGCTACAATCCTCTGCTTCCAGTAAGTAGCTGCTTTCAGAAAGTGGCATCAATCCCTGCTTGCTGAGCACTAGGGGAAAAATGTTCTTCTTATAACATTAAGATGAGTGTCCCAGGATGACTGACACCATGAAACACAGGGTGATAGAAAGTGAGGAAAATGCTCCCTTATTGGAATACAAAGCAAAAAGAGAAAAAAAAAGTTGTCTACCTTTCGATTTCGAGTTGTAATATGGCAGTATTCTTAAAAACTAAACTAAAAAAATTTTATATATATATATATATATATATATATATATATATATACACATATATATGTGTATGTAAAAAATTAAAAAATTATATGAGATTGCTTTTTAATTATCCTATGATCCTCTACAGTCCGGCTTCCGTCCCCTACACTCCATCGAAACTGCCTTACTCAAACTCTCCAATGACCTGCTAACCGCCAAAGCTAACGGCCAATATTCAGTGCTCCTTCTCCTCGACCTCTCCGCGGCTTTCGACACAGTTGACCACCCCCTCCTCCTCAAAAAACTACACTCCCTTGGCCTCAGAGACTCTGCTATCCCTGCGTCTACTCTGCCTCACCCATCCTCTGGAACTCCCTACCCCAATCCATCAGACTATCACCTACTCTCCTCTCCTTTAGGCGCACTCTGAAAACCCACCTATTCAGGGAAGCCTACCCCACCCCTTGCTAATTGCCGACCTTCTCCACTCTTCCTACCACTCCATCCCCACAGATTTTCCTCCTGTACCACTATCCCCTCCCTCCTAGATTGTAAGCTCCAAGAAGCAGGGCCTTCGAACCCCTCGTGTATTCTATTGTATTGTTATGGTACTGTCGCATGTATTGTCTCCCATTGTAATGTACAGCGCTGAGCGAATTGTTGGCGCTTTATAAATACTGTATAATAATAATATTAATTACTAGCTATCTGTCATTTTTGCTTGGATGGATAGCTGAACAGAGTAAGAGAAATGCTAAAATACCTTTCATGAAGAAAACATTGCCCAAGGCTCCCTCTTGTGCTGCCCACATGAGTAAAATCTCAACATATAATTATCTAAGCTCTGATTACGTAAAGGTGTTCACACTGGCCTATCATAGCCTGAAGTAGGGATTATATAACCAGCCTAGTAGTTGTTTACAGCAGAATTTTCTCTAGGAAAGGTATTTTCACCCTTCTATTACTATTAACTATCCTAATAAGATTTTTAACATATAACTCTCCATTAAAACCGCCCATAATGGATCAAAGCTCAGGCAGTCCCTACTGAACCGGCCGAGATTCGATCCATCTAAGGTCAGGCTGGTGAATCAACTTCAGTACAACCAGCCTGCTGGATTTTTTTTCAAGGGATCACTACCGCCAGCTGTAGCCGCCGGCAGTAATCATTGAGTCCTGCCTGCAGTGAAGGCTCCCTGCTGGCAGAACACAATAGCACTGTGGGAGGGATTCCCCCTTCAATACTGACTGTGCTGTTAGGGGAACAACAATTTTCTTTCCTTCCACCAGGTGGAGGGAAAGAAAATTGCATAATCTATGGGCTGCTTTAGGTAAAGGTCTTCTTTAAAGAACTTAAACTAAGCATTGGAGAGAAAAATATTATAAACAGGCTACCTTGACTGAAAACTGCATGTTAAGATATTCAGCAAATCTGAAGATACAGAAGGCTAAATTTAAGAAAATCTTGACTTTTTTTTTTTTCCCCTGTAATAGTCAAGTGTGACCCTTCCCCTCTTGCCACTAACCCCCCCCCCTCTTTCCTTATTGGTCCATTAATACAGCCCTGGCCAAAAGTTTTGAGAATTACACAAGTATACATTTTCACAAAGTCTGCCGCTTCAGTGTTTTTTGATCTTTTTGTCAGATGTTACTATGGTATACTGAGGTATAATTACAAGCATTTTGTGTGTCAAAGTCTTTTATTGACAATTACATTAGGTTTATGCAAAGAGTCAATATTTGCAGTGTTGGCCCTTCTTTTTCAAGACCTCTGTAATTCGCGCTGACATGCTGTCAATCAACTTCTGGGCCACATCCTAACTGATGTCAGCCCATTCTTGCCTAATCAATCCATGGAGTTTGTTGGAATTTGTGGAGTTTTTTTTTTTTTTTTTTTTTTTTTGTTCACTCACTCGAGGATTGACCACAAGTTCTCAATGTGATTAAGGTCTGGGGAGTTTCCTGACCATGGACCCAAAATGTCAAAGTTTGTTCCCCAAGTCACTTAGTTATCACTTTTGCCTTATGGAAAGGTTCTCCATCATGCTGGAAAAGGCATTGTTCATCACTAGACTGTTTTTGGATGGCTGGGAGAAGTTGCTCTTGGAGGATGTTTTTGTACCATTATTTATTCATGGCTGTGTTCATAGGCAAAATTGTGCGTGAGCTCACTCCCATGGCTGAGAAGTAACCCCACACATGAATGGTCTCAGGATGCTCTACTGTTGGCATGACACCGGACTGATGGCAGCGCTCAGCTTTTCTCCTCCAGATAAGGTTTTTTCCAGATGCCTCAAACAATTGGAAAGGGGAACCATCAGAGAAAATAACTTTACCCCAGTCCTTTGCAGTCCCAATCCCTGTACCTTTTGCAGAATATCAGTCTGTTCCTGAAGTTTTTCCTGGAGAGAAGTGGCTTCTTTGCTGCTCTTCTTTTCAACAGGCCATCCTCCAAAAGTCTTTGCCTCACTGTGCGTGCTGATGCATCACACATGCCTGCTGCCATTCCTGAGCAAGCTCTGCACTGGTGGTGCCCCGATCCTGCAGCTGAATCAACTTTAAGAGATGGTCCTGGCACTTGCTGGACCTTCTTGGGCACTCTGAAGCCTTCTTCAAAACAATGTAACCTCTCTTCTTGAAGTGATGATCCGATAAATGGTTGATTTAGATGCAATCTCCGTAGCAGAAATATGCTTGCGAGTGAATCCCTTTTTGTGAAAAGCAATGATGACTGCACGTTTCCTTGCAGGTAAATTAAATTCATTTGGGTACAGTGTTGTATGATTGAGTCCTAGATTGTAAGCTCCAAGGAGCAGGGCCCTCAAATCCCTCTTGTATTGAACTGTATTGTTGCTGTATTGTCTC